GTTCGCAGCCCGATTCGTAACCACTATGCTACCAGAGCACTTTGCACTTAGTAGCCCAAAATGTAGCCCACTAGGCTACCAGGGCGCCTAAATGTGCAGCAGCATTAAGAAAAAGTTTGAAATACTGAGAAAATGACCTAATGTAACAGTGAGACAGAAAGTAAGAGCATGCTGTTGGAAAATTAGTATCAACAGACATGTTCAGAGCAGCATTACCACAAACATTCTATTTATTGAAAAGGCATTATCTTTGAAGTGCAATCAAGCAAAGTGCAAAAAACAAGGTATACCTGTATTTCTAACCTAGTTTATTTCCTTAAAAAGTGGTTCTTAAACTGTAAATTGCATTGAATGATCCAAGTTCCTTGTAATTGAGATGCCTGGGCTTTGTCCCTAGAGAGATTCAGCAGGTTTGGGGATCTACATTTTCATAGAGACTAGGAGGTTTTGGAGCTGGTAATTTTTGGATTTCAGTTAGAGAAAGAGTCTCTTTTATGAGTCTCCTCTTAGTGAAAATGCCAGGAGCCTTCCTTTCATTTCTTCAAATGCTGGAGTCCAGTTTAAGAAAAAAAAAAATTTGGACTTAATAAAAAAGAGAATGTATTCATTCACAAAGATTACTGCAAATTTCCAGGTCTATTTCAATAGCATGTAGAAGATATTGCTATGGGAAGAACAACTCTCAATTAGGCAAAAAGGGATTGTCTTTAATAGAGGTATTTGTAGTATTTATTATTGCCTTGCTCCTAGTTAAAGGACTGTCTTGTGGTCCTTTTGTAAACACCATTAGTAACAGAATGACTTCTAGTAAGTTACACGAACAAATTAAGATGAAACAAAAGTAGACAATCAAATTATCTCAAAACAAAACAAGACAATACAAACAATACATTGTTGTTATTGTCTACCATTGAGTTGCTTCCAACCCATAGCATCCAAGTTTACAAGAGCAACTAGTGGGTTTGAACTGCCAACCTTGCTGTTGGCAGTCCACTGTTTATCCTATAGATGTTACGGTTAAGTGCTGGTGAGTTGGTTCTGACTCATAGTAACCTTATAATAGATGAGGAACAGCAGATGGGTTTGAACTGCTGACCTTGTGGTTTGCAGTTCAGTGCTGATCCTACAGAGCCACACCAAGAGTCTAAAACAATACTATATAGAGTTTCTGAGGAGTGGACGGTGAGATTGAATCGCCAACCTTGCAGTTCAAATTTGTTGTTGTTAGGTGGCATCAAGTCAGTACCAACTCATAGCAACCTTATGCACAGTAGAATGAAACACTGCCCGATCCTGGGCCAACCTTACTACTACTGTTGCCACACTTTAGTTCAAACATAGATATACTCAAATCAAAGATATGCCTACCATATTATCTGATATTTCACATTTATAATAGAAAAAAAAAATCATTATTTGACTATTTGTCAATAATGAATGCTGAGGTGTGAGGTGTGAGTCTAAAGTAACACTGACTGCTCAGCGGAAGTTTTGTAATGATGTAACTTAACAGTTATATTATAATTTGGAATCTGTGTTATGATACAATCGTCTTCCTTTGTGTGATATAATGGGGTCATCCATTCTTCTTATAACAACCTGATCTTTAGAACTTAAATATTTTAGTACGTGTGGAGTGGGCGTATTTTTTAACTTCACATTACAGAAAATTTCTAGTAAAGAAAACAACTCAATATATACATGCTGACAATATAGTACATATGCAAGTGTGTGTGTACACACAATCCCCTTCGCCCAGTGGAAACCAAGGCTACTTCATGATAAGTTTGAATTTTTCTGACAGACTCCTACTTCTGGCCTGTCATTTCCATGGTAGATGGTCTGTGACAATTTGCTTACTTTAATTCATCTTCAATTTATTGGAAATGAACATGACAATACAATATTAAATGAGGTAATTTTGTAAAATGTTTAACACATTGTCTGGAACATAATATTATCTCAATAATCAATAGCCATTTAGTAGACTATTTAGACAAAATTGTTGTTATTTTGAAGTGCCATTGAGTCAGTTCTGACCCATAGAGACCCTGTTTTAGTTTCAGAGGAACAGTTGGTGAGCTGGAACCGCTGACCTTGCCGTTCAAATAGCTTTGCAGTATGGTGCATTAACCCACAGCGCCACACCAGGACTCCTTAAACAGAATATTTTTAGCTAAATGAATATCAAAGTTTAATTGATATACAGCCTTCTTTGTGATAGGTATTACTCAAATATATATAATATATACTCTCATTTGTTTTTCAAGTGACAGAGAATAACATGATTCCAATATTGAGTCATTATTATATACTGCTCATTTCTTTACCAGGTAATCAATTCAACACTCATCAACTTCTAGCCATGGCATCACGTCTGAGGGAGAACGTGGAAATCTTTCAATCTGATGAGATGCGTCCTGCTAATGATCCCAAGGAGCGAGCTCCCAGCCGCATCCGAATGCTGAACGATGTTCTTCAGGACATGGAAAAAAGTTTCCTGGTGAGGCAGGTGCCACCTGGTTTTTATAGGTAAGATAAGGATTTAAAAAGTTATATTTTATGCTCCTTTAATTGAATTATTTATTTGTGTTTATATCTACAATTTAATGTCAAACTACATAAATATAGACTAAAGGGAACTTGGTATAGCAACAGCATCACTAAATTTTTTGTTTTCACATTAAAATACATATGTTTGAGTTAAATAAGAGTGAGGGGTATTTAGATGGAACTCAAAAGAAATAATGGATTAGGGATACATAATTAGAGAGTCACAGAAGAGAACTTGTTGAAAGCTTACTTATGTATTTTACAACTTTTGCAAGGAAGAGAAATGAAATTTAAGATTATAGAGAATGCGACCAATACAATGTGGTTTTATATTTGAGAATCCTGAAGAAGAAAATAAAGACTGGCATACTTTACATGTTCTTATTTAAATGATTATTCTTACATGTTCTTATTTAAATGATTATTCTATGAAGCACACAAATATAAATATGCATGCTTGCTATTTTTGTGTGTCATTGAGTCAGTTCAGACTCATAATGAGCCCTTTACAGGGTTTCTGAGGAGTGACTACCAGGTTTGAACTACTGACCTCTCAGTTAGCAGTTTATTGCTTATCTTAAACTCCACAATAGGACTCCAAATATACATATCAGTATAATAATATATGCATATATTATGTATATCATAATTTAATGTCTGTAAATATGTATAAAGGAATGCTGGTATCACAGAGGGTTAAGCTTTGGGCTACTTACCACAGGTCAGCAGTTCAAACCACCAGTGGCTCTGTAGAAAAAAGATAAGGATGTTTGTCCCAGTAAGGATATATCATCTCAGAAACTCTTATGGGCATTTTTCTCTATACTGCTGGGTTGCTATGATTCATAATCAACTTTTTGACAGCATGTTCTATTTTAGGCTTTTATAGGTGTACAGGATCCATGGTCTTTGCACATTTCATTATGATATTTGACTTAGTCTTCTTGAGCTTACCTTTGAAATTTTCTTTTCAGCTCTTGTACCTCCTCACTTCTTCTATTTACTTTAGCATCTCTGTGCTAGAAAGCAAGTTTAAGAGTCTCTTCTGGCATCCATTATAATCTTTTCCTTGTCTTCTTAATGACCATTTGCTTTCTTCCTGTATGATGTTCTGGATGTCATTCCACAACTCTTCTAGTCATCAGTCTTTAGTGTCAAATGTATAAAATCTGTTCTGCAGATGATCTCTAAATTCAGGTAGGACAGGTTCAAAGGCATATTTTGGCTCTCGCAGACTGCTTTTACTTTTACTTTTCTTCAGCTTCAGTCTGAATTTGCATATGAGCAATTGATGGTCTGTTCCACAATCTGCCCCTGGCCTTGTTGGCTGATGATAATGGAGCTTTTCTACCCTATCTTCCCACAGATGTTGTGAATTTGACTTCTGTGTATTCTATCTGGTGAGATCGAGGTGTTTAGTCATCTTTATGTTGGTTAAAAAAGGTATTTGAAATGAACAAATATTGATTTTGCAAAATTCTCTCATGTAATTTCCAGCATCATTTCTATACCCAAGGCCAGCATCATTTCTATACCCAAGGCCATGTTTTCCAACTGCTGATCTCTCCTCTGTTTCCAACCTTTGTATTCCAACTGCTAATGATTAATAATACATCTTGAATGCATGTTTGATCAATTTAATACTGAAGAAGTTGATAGAATTCTTCAATTTCATCCTCACTGGCTTTACTGGTTGGTGACTATATTTGAATAAAATTAACTGGTCTTCCATGTAGATGATGAATATTATGTTATTACAGGCGGCATTGTACATCATGACAGATTTGGATATGTTCTTTCTAAAGATGAATATGCCACCATTCCTCTTCAATTTGTCATTCCTGGTATAGTAAATCATATGATTGTCAGATTCAAAATGGCCAATACCAGTCCATTTCAGCTCACAAATACCTAGGATATAAATGTTTAAGTGTTCCATTTGATTTTGGACAATTTCCAATTTTTCTAGAATCATAATTCATACATTCCATGTTCTGCCATGTTCTGATATAACAAAATGTGCAAAGACCTGGAGTTAGAAAATAGACGTGAAGAACTCACTCAGTATTTCTCAAATTTAGGGAACTGAAGAAAAATTTAAACCATAACTTGGTGTTATTGAAGGATTCTCTAGGCAAATTATTGAATGATGCAGAAAGCATCAAAAGAAGATGGAAGGAATACACAGTCACTGTACCAAAAGGAAATGGTTGATATTCAACCATTTCAAGAGGTAGCATATGATCAAGAGCCAATGATCCTGAAGGAAGAAATCCAAGCTGAATTGAAGGCATTGGCAAAGAACAAAGCACCAGAAATTGATAGAATACTAATTGAAATCTTTCAACAAAGTGAGACAGCACTAGAGGCACTCATTTGTCTATGCCAGGAAACTTGGAAGACAACTACTTGACCAATTGATTAGAAAGAGATCTGTACTTGTGTTCATTCCAAAAACAGGTGACACAACAGAATGCAGAAATCATCAACAATATCATTGATATCCCTGCGAGTCAGGTCTTACTAAAGGTAATACAGAAACAGCTGCAACTGTACATTTCCAGAGAACTTCCATAGGTTCAAGTTGGATTCAGAAGATGACATGGAATGAGGGATATCATTGCAGAGATTATCAGAAAGATGTTTACCTGTGTTTTATTGACTACACAAAGGCTTTCATTGTGTGGATCATAACAAGCTATGGATAACATTGTGAAGTATGAGTATTCTGGAACATTTAATTGTGCCCTTGAGGAACCTGTACACAGACCAAGAGGCAGTTGTTCAAACAGAACAAGGGAACACTGAATAGTTGTCACCAAAGTTATCAAACCTGTATGCTGAGCAAATAATCCAAGAAGCTGGGTTATATGAGGTAAAATGTGGCATCAGAATTGGAGAAAGACTCATTAACAACCTGTGATATGAAGATGATACAACCTTGCTTACTGAAAGTGAAAAGGACTTAAAATACTGACTGATGAAGATCAAAGATCACAGTCTTCATTATGGATTACATCTCGATGTAAAGAAAACAAAAATCCTCAACATTGGACCAATAAACAACATTCTTATCAATGAAGAAAAGATTGAAGTTGTCAAAGATTTCATTTTTCTCGGATCAAACATCAACTACTCATGGAATCAGTAGCCAAGAAATCAAATGACATATTGCATTAGGTAAATAAAGAAGTCTTATGCAGCATAAAGTGTTCAACAGCAAAGCTGTTAATCTAAGGACTAAGGTGCTACTGACCCAAGCCATGGTATTTTCAGTATCCTCATATGCATGCGGAAGGTGGATATTGGATAAGGAAGACTGTAGAAGAATTGATGCATTTGAGTTGTTGTGTTAGAGGATCAAAAGAACAAACAGATCTGTAATGGATGAAGTACAGCTAGAGTGTTTCTTGGAAGCCAGGATGGCCAGACTTAATCTCTCATACTTTATACATATTATCAGGAGGGAGCAATCACTGGAGAAGGATATCATGTTTGGTAAAATTGAGGTTCAGAGAAAAAGAGGAAGACCCCCAGTGAGATGGATTGACAGAGTAGCATCATTAGTGGGTTCAAGAGTAGCAATGATTGTGAGGTTGGCCCAAGACTGGGCAGTGTTTTGTTCTGTTGTGTATAGAGTCGCTATGAGTCAGTACCAACTCGATGACACCTGACAACAACAAAAGGATCTTGTGGTATAGTAGTTTGGTAGTTCAAACCCACCAGTTGCCCTGTAGGGTTGCTATGGCACAAAGGCAGTGTTTTTGGAATTATGGGTGTATGGTCTCTGTGTATGTGCAGAGTAGATCTTTACAATCCCTCATTGTTTGTAGATTCTGTGTTTGCAAAACTATCTACTCATTAACATTAGAGCGGTCCAATGAGCATCTCACAGATGAGTTTCAGCTCCCATACTGTAAAGTAGTTTCCGTATCATAGTTTTTTTACTGGCATGTTTTTCACATTTTGTGGAGTTTTTTTGTTGCCAAGTTTGCTGTTTAAAATGGCCTTCAAGTGTTAAAATGGCCTTCAAGTGTTAAAGTACTGTGTAGTGTTCCTAGGGTAAGAAGACTGATAGATACATATCAATGTTAAGGAATCAACAATAAACTGTCTTTAAACAAAAATACACATAAAACAAAGTCATAGATTGATCTCTTGACAAAAATGTTATCACTGGCTCACAGGGATGAATTTCTAGTTCCCTTAGGGAAAATTATTCAATATTCACTAATTTATTATTAATGGCAGGTTTATAGAGCAAACACACAAACATTGGAAATCAAATATATATATATACAGAGAGTGAGAGTCCTGGTGTTGCAGTGTAAGCTAATGCTCTGGACTTCAAAGTCAGTTTGAACCACAAGTTTGTTGTTAAGTGCAGTTGAGTGGTGAGGAGTAGATTCCAACCCATGGTGACCCTGTAAAGGGTTTCTGAGGAACAGCTGGTGGGTTTCAACTTCTGACCTTGTGGTTCTCATTCCAGTGCTGATCCACAGTGCCACACCAGAAGTCCATAGACACATCCACAAGGAAAAGTCAAACATGATCCACACACTCCAGGTATATTAAAACAGCCATGGCTGATGACAACATTGAGCATGCATGTTAAATGATTCTGTAACTGGACTATGTAACAAATAATTTACAAATCAAGCATGACTCTGCCTATCAAAGACAGACTTGGGTTTCAAAAAGTTTGTGCAGGATGGATTCAAAAAGTTTGTGCAGGATGGATATGAAACAACTTATGCAAGAGCATAAACAGAAGCATTTAGACATCTGCAAACAAAATTTGGACTGATACTCAAAGGTAAAAGTTTCTTTTAAAAAAATGTGGGGGAACATGGAGTCCCCATTGAATAGTTTTCATCTTGTCTAAACAGGTCTGGTGTAAAGATAGGGGGACAAGATTCTCATGATTGTGATTGTCACAACTGTAAAGGTAGTTTTGTAACAGAAACAGAGGAGCAATT